TCACCTGTCCAAAAAGCCTGATCTTGCCATTTTCACATCAGAGTTCTGGTCTGTCATTTTATCCTTTGGAAAACACTTGTAATACCAGGCAGAAGCAGGGTGGACTGTATGGATTGTGAAAAACAAATTTCAGGAATCCAGAGACTGTGAGAGTGCTGCTTTTTTCAGGTAGGGGAACATGGATTTGAATGTAATTTCAAGCCAGCTCTATTTAGGAAAGGGGAGAAAGATGAGGCCTGTACACCAAGTGAGTGGCAGAGAATGATAGTCTGCCAGTCTATCCCCCCCCATAAGAGGGTGGGCATTTAGTTTGCAGGGGTCTTGGAGATGTAGGCTAACAGTTTAAGTAATATGCAGGTCAAGACTTCATTAAATGTTTACTCATCCGCCGTTTGTCAGGGAGGGGGTGCAAGGGCGCGGTATTTTTATTTTTTGCCTTGCAGATGTTGCTGGGACAATGCCTCGTGTTTCATTAAAAATAAATTTTAGTGTCTGAGTCTGACTCTTTCTTACTGTCATCTTTGAGCCTCAATTTCCACATTTGCCAAATGGGAATCACACCTTGCTCTCAGGGATATCTCTTGTATGGTTTTTGTAAAGTGCTCAGCACAGAGGAGGTACTGAAGGAATTAGAACACCATTTCCAGAATATGGGAACAGATCATTGTGGCTTCATTTAGCTCATCTCCCTACCTGTCCAGGCCCCCATTTCAACCAAACGTTTGTTTCCTTTCACAGGGCCAGCAACTTTCCTCAGATATTATGGGGCTTCTCTTTGGAAACCAGCCTCTTTAATCCTGCTATGATGCCAAGAGGTAGCCCAGAAACTCACACCTTGCCTTGCTCTGAGCCACTTTCTTGTGTGGCCATCTCTGACGCCTTATGCCGAAGCTGATGTGGCTCAGCACCAAGTTCCGGCACCAAGAGGGTGCTTGTTAACTGGCAGTGCCGAAAAGGTCTCCTCTCTTTCATTGTCTGTGTAAAGTTACTTCTTTTCGGGGCAGTGGTTAATTTGTTGAAAATCTGCGGAAGAGTTTTCACAGTTGGGGTGGGGGGAAAGCCCTAAATAGAAATATGAACTCTTCTAAGGTGCATTCCAAGACACTTCTAAGCTCCAGTTTCATGGAAACCTTGGGCTCCTGTGTTGCTTTATTAGCACGGGTTTTATCCAGAAGGTGGCATCACAGAACCTGAATTTCATTCAGCGAATGTTAAAAGAAAATCCACATTTCTTTGTGATTGGAAGCGAAAGTGTCTATTCTTTAGAGGGCATGTTTAAAGATGTTTTGTTCATCCCTGTAATCGGTGAAATTACTTTAAAGCTGTGAAAGATGGGGGTCATGATAACTTCCTACTCAGTGAAAACCTGTAGCCTGAGACACTTAGAAAAACCTGTCCTAAGCCCATGTTCCTTCCCCGGGTGACATGATGATGATCAAAACTGGATTATTTCCTAATCAAGACAATTGTGAAACTTAAGAATAACAGTGAGGCCTGCTTCCCCTTCCACACACACTTGTTCTCACTGCCCATCAAAGTCATCTTGGCTGACTTCATTGGAGGCAGGGGTCAAGAAAACCTAAATGGATGGTTTAAGAGGTCAATCTGCTGTGTATTGGCACTTCAAAATAAGTCACAAGGTTGAGGATTCCAAAAAGGTGACTCTCCAGTTGGTGACAGTCTCAGAAATCAGGGCTCTCGTGGAAAGAGAAGGTAATCGTCTTCTGAATTTGAGATGGAATCTGGCTTGCTGGTTCTTTCCCAGGAATTCATTCCTAAGCCAGCCATGTTCCTTAGCCTCATGAGACAATACCTCAATGAATGTGTACTCACTCGTGGGAATGTTAATGTTCTATAAATTCCTGGTGTGAGGGATTCCTTTTGATACATACCACAAGTGGGATTGCTGGACTAGATGGTAGTTCTCGTTTTCATTTTTTGAGGGGCTTTCATACTGTTTTCCATAGTAGCTGTACCAATTGAATCTTGAACTAAATGAGTTTCATGAGTGGTTCTCAGGCCACTTTTGATTGTCGGTTCTTTTCAGGAGAAGTACTGTAGAGATTAGAGCCTCAAAGCGGGAAGGAGTTCCCTGATCAGGAAAGATGGAATGACTGACTACATATGGACCTTCGTTGGGGTGCCTAAAGCCTAGAGGTGGGGAAGGGGCTGGGAAGAGTGACCCTCTGTAGAGCTGTTGTGAGAGCACAAGGAGAAAGCTGGACGGGAGGACATAGGCCCTCCATGTGAAAGGTGCATTGGACTTAATGTGGTCAAAAGTGTCTCCTACCTATTTCTCAATTCCTGGTACTGCCTGGGATCATTGTAGCAAGGGGACTGAACATAATAGTGCACATCGCTGAGTGTGACATGAGAGTGGATTTCTTTCTGGCAAAGGTGAGACTTTCATGATGAAGGCTTTACCCTATGTGACAGCATTCCTCAGAATTTTGGACTTCACTGTTAGGGATGTTCTCGTGTTCCTGCTTCAGTCTGTGCACTGCCTTAGGCTGTGAAAAGCGGCTCAGGAAAGGTGACCTTTCCCCCTCCTATACTGTGGCCTAGAGCAGTAGTCTGAGAGGGTCTCCTGGGAGGCACCCGCTGATGTTGACTGCACTTGGTTGAATAGACCGCTCAACTCTTCTGTTGAGACTACCTGTTGCCATAAAGAGGCACATGAATGTGAGTTGGTGTTGCTGGTGTGTTCTACTGATATACCAACCAGACACTTCTTCCTTTTACACTCACACACCTAGGGGCCTTGCTAAAATCCTAAGAAGGTGCATATTGGCAATGGCAGCATGTGAGGCATGGGAAGTGTTGGGAATCCTGAGGAGTCCCAACTGTGTCAGAATGTGGTTGGAACTTTCCACATTCACTTTCTGCACTCTTCCACTGAGCACACTCTGCACATTGGCTGGAAGACAGAGGTCCGATGGGTCTAGTCAGTGAACTGTCCATGAATCCAGGGCCATTTGCTTCCTTCAGGGCATATGCCGATGAGCCTGGATGTCCAGGAACCTCCCGAGTCAGGTGCCCCAGCTGGCGGATGAAGCGCTTGTATTCCTCTTGCTGGAGAGGGCTGCATCCCCAGGCTGTAGCTGTCTCTCCCACCCGTGTATCTGCTAGAAAGCCTTTCTAGGAGAAAGGCTGGCTGGTGGTGGTTCCTCTTCCATTTAGGTTTGTCTATTGATGGGGGTGACATTGCCTCAGGGGGACCTTCTCTGCACTCTCAAGGAAGAAGGTGGTGTTGGTACAACAGTGGAGGGACAGTTATGCATTGTTTGTAATGTTGGGCTATTGGACTGGGGGAGAGGAAAGGGGAGCTCAATTGGGGGAGGGAAAAGGCCTGATTGTTTCCCCATGTCAGGCTTTTGCTTTCTCTTGATTTGGGAAATGTAGGCCCAGCAGGGCTATGAGGAGGAGGCCCTGAGAGTATAAGGAAAGAGTGCCAGTGGGGAGGACAAGGGTCTTTAGTGTGATGACTGTGGTGGGCATTGTGGGTTCAGGGCTCTTTCTCCTGTCTCCTTTCTCCATTCCCATGCCCTTTCTTTAGCTTAGCATAGCTGAGGGACAGAAGATAAAAATGGGCCCTGATGGATATACTATAAGAAGATACGGCTTTCATATAAACTAGGACATTTATTGTGAAAACAGGTTTATTTTCCATTTTCCCAAGTTAATTGTGATTTTGTCTGTATGAAGGGGTTGCTGACTCTTCCTTGCTCTGTGTTGCCTAGACCTGTGAAAAATGGCTGTTGTGGAGGGGGAGCTCTCTGTCCAGCTGTACTGTTGCACAGTATATAATCTAAGGGAATTCTGAGAAGGCACTGCTGTTGCTTACACTGTTTTTTTTCCCCCAGAAATATTTTCTGCCCTTTACCTGTTGCTTTATGGGCTCTTGGTCACTGCTTTTGCTGCCAGGTCTCCGAGGAACACTCTTGGTTTGGCAACTTTCCAAGAGGCTTATTTAACTTACAGAAAAGATTTGCATACATTGCAGAGAGTCAGAAATGGCAGCCTATTGCCTGGAGAGTCCCAGGGACAGGGGAGCCTGGTGGGCTGCTGTCTGTGGGGTCACACAGATTCAGACACGAATGAAGTGATTTCACAGAGTCAGACAAAGAACTGACGACACTCCAGAGTTTTTGAGGAAAGGTGAGAAAGAAGTCCTCGTCCCTTTTCAACATGAGCAATTTAATTTTCTTTATTTGAGTGTCCCTTACAATGTGCTCCCTGTGAGATACCAGGTCCCCTGGGTATCTTCACCATCTCTCCAAGTGCTGATTCTAAAGTCCTGGCCATAGCCAGACCTGTGCAGAGAACTTCCTCAGCAGGAACTTGTGGAAACAGCACCTGAACGACAAGTAAAAAGTATGAGTGACTTCTTATCCTCTAGGAGCTTTTTACCCATACATATGTCCTCAGGGTGAATTCTCTGTGATCAATAGGATCACTGGGGATGAGGATTAAAACTACAAACCTTGTTTAGAGATGGTTTAAGTCGCTCTGCTGACGTCAGCAGTCTGTTGGCAAGCGGAGCTGAACTTCATCTCTCACCGTCCCTTTCTCAAGCACTCTGAAGGAGCAGAGATTTGATCTCCAATTGGCAGAGTTCTGATTTCTGTGTCTTGTGTTGCACAGGACTTGCTAGAATACTTGGGAGGAGGCAAGGACTCATATCCGGCAGAGTTTTACTTATGGAATTTTAGTGTGCAGCTCTGTCAAAAAGAGTGGACAGAATGAGCCAAATATGTGCATTCCCGTACAATTTGAATGGTCTCTTCATCCCTCTGGATTTGAATTTGCCCTCCCGGTCCACTATGCTGACTCCAGCATGAACCCAAAATGGGTTACTGAGTGTCACAGCCAGGCCACCTCAGAGTTTTGATTGTCTGTCTGAACCAGCTGTTGCATTTTTGGTAAGCCTTCTTTTTTCTCTTTTACCAGTTTCTGGAGCAAATTCAGTTTGTTTTCCTGGGTTTGCAAATTATAATGACCTCAAAGCTTTAGCAGTTCTTCCATCTGAGTCAGGTTTTCTTCTCTGCCGGTCTTCGGAATCAACATCCACACTTCCATGGATTATCTGTGTACATTTTGGACAAAGCTTCCAACCAGGTACAAGCTGCCTTCCAAATTTTGCACTCAGAAAAGTGGCATCATCTAAATCAATTACATGTAAATTTTTTTGGGCTAGCTTTTTGTGTATGTTAAATGGGTCACAACATGACTTCTGCAAATCCTCAAATCTGTCGATGTAAATTGTTGCATGATGGAAGCAAATTGTATTGTTTCCAGAAAGTGTCATTCCAGTTCTCAGTTGAAGTAGAAGCATGTCATTTGATGACAATTCTTGCAAAGTCTTGAAACCTGTATGACGAGTATAATAGGTTTTATGGCACTCATTTGTGGTACGGAGCTGGACTCCAACTGAACATGGATCCATCATGCTTGATTCAAGTAAATTTCCTCTTTCTGATTTTTGCTTAGAGAACACTCTCTAGCAGATCACCCTTTAGCTTGAGCTCCCCAACAACGGAGTGCGCACCACACCCGCCGCCTCCGTGCGTACATCTTTTTGTATGTCAGTCATTGCTCATACCTCAATAAAGGGGTTCAAAAAATAATAAAAATGACCCTTCCATAATCATAAGTGAGTGTTACCTCCCTCCAAGTGTTTTTAGATTTTAGAACTGAGAGGGAAGAATGTTTCTCCTTGGGGAAATGGGTAATGCCATTTACATCATCTGTATTATTGTTTTGCCTTGGTTTCTCTATGTATACATAGTATTTGCATGAGTGGTGTTTAAGGTTAACCTTTAGTCCATAGGACTTTGAATTTCATAGAATCACAGCAGTTCTACAGAAGTCATCAACTTCATGAGGAGGACTTCGGTTCAAGGAGTGGCCCTGTGACATCAGTGAGTTGTCATTTGACCAGAAATTGACTTTGGGGCCTTTGGGAATGGCTTGGACTTTGGGTTGTTTTCATTTTGTATACTATGTGCTTTTGCGCTTCCTCAAGAAATCTTTAAAAATATTGTACCCATGGGGGCATGTCAAAGCGTGTGTGTACTGTATTTGTATTCCACAGGGTGGAAGGCACTGTGTCAGGCTCAGTGGTCTCTCTAGCAGGCCTCTTTTCTCTGAAACCTTCCCACGGCCTTCTCTGCTCTGTGTCACTGAGCTTCCTGGCCATAGCTACTTGGTTTGGTATACTTTTCATCTTATCCTAGTTGAGCCAGTAATATTTCTGTTATAGTTTGGGACTAGACCCGCAAGAATGAGTGAGAGCCTGGTAACCTTTCAGTGCAGAGAATATAAAAAGACATACTGTTGGCACTTGCCCAGCAGTCCAGTGGTTAAGCCTCTGTGCTTCCAATGTAGGGGGGGAGGGGGTTCAATCCCTGGTGGGGGAACTAAGATCCCACAGGCTGCATGGCATGGCCCAAAAAAAAAAAAAAAAAAAAAGGAAAAGAAAGAAGCAGGACATACTTCTGAGTTTCCCTGAGCTAACCTCATTTCTGTGTCTTTAAAATGTATTTGTTGCTTAAGTCTCTTGTATTTTGTTGAATACGTGTGTTCTTCCAATAAACTTCATTTGCTTCAGAAGATCTCACTTTTATGTTTTTATTATTCACAATGAACACCAGCATGATGAAGGAAGCTGCGGCTCTGTCATGTGCATTGTCACCTGAACCAGGGCGGAGCTCTAAGCTCTGGAGTCTGATGCATTAAGAACAGGAGTGGGTTTCAAGGGGATGGGGTCTCCAGGCCATGCTAAAAGTTCCCCTCTTTGTTAAGCTCGCCCCTTTGTCTAGGGAAGTATTCCCCTTAAAGCTAGTCACTCAGTCGTGTCTGACTCTGTGCGACCCCATGGACTGTAGCCCGCCAGGCTCCTCTGTGCGTGGGATTCTCCAGGCAAGAATACTGGAGTGGGTTGCCATTCCCTTCTCCAGGAGATCTTCCCACCCCAGGGATCAAACCCTGGCCTCCTGCATTACAGGCAGATTCTTTACCATCCGAGCCACCTGGGGAGCCCGATCCCCTAAAGGTAGCAGGTAATCTAATGCCTCCCTATGAGAAGTGATCCTTTTAGCCACTTCATGAAAGCCATGAATGCATATTTGGGGATCGTGGAGAAATCTTCTGATACTCCCAAGGGCAAGGAGAGGTAGGGTGACCAGCATGGTTTTATAGAAGCTTAGTTCAGAAGTCAGTAGGACCAAAGTAGAAGCAGCAAGCACACAGTGAATTCCTGCTGAAGCCTGCATTACAATCTTAGTCCCTTGTGCCTGAGACGTCTTTTATTACACCACACCACTAGGTCTTCTAAAGACTTTGTATTAGCAGTTTAGCTAACTGGGTAGAATGTTTTGTCATTGTTTATTCTTTAAACATAATCAATACACTTTCCAGTTCTAACTGAAATTAGACATGCAATTAACTAAAATTGCATGTCTTACTTGTATAGCTTACCATGGTTTAAACATTCAGCAGGGACTTCCCCGGTGGTCCAGTGGCTGAGACTCTATGCTTAAAATGCAGGGGGCCCAAGTTCAATCCCTGTTTGGGAAACTAGATTCCAGATGCAACAACTAATACCCAGCGCAGCCAAATTAATTAATATTTAAAAAAATAGGGAAAAAAAAAAAAAAACATTTTCCCAGCAAATAGCCTTACTGTGGTCAGTAACTCCCCCACCCCCCACTGGAAAGGAGAGTAAGACTGGCAGTCTCTTCTGCCTGTAGCTCTTCAGGGTGGCTGCGTGCCTTTCTCTTCCTGGCATTTCATAAAGATCTTCGGCTGAAGGTGGCAGCAATTCTGTTCTTACCATTCTGTCTAGAGGGCCCCAAGCTTCAATGTCTTATTTCCTGCCCGAGAGGTTCATCAGGATGTAGAGCTCAGATCACTTCTCTTTTTCTCTAATTGCAGCTGGAACTTTATATCCCTTTGATTATTCTCTCCTGCTACCGAATGAGTCTCACATAAGACTGGAAGCCATCTCCCATTGGCCCTATTTCAGGTCAGTGGGTATGATTTTACCTGAGGCATTTGCATTTAGACTGCCAAACACCGTGAAATCCCACTACCATTCTGATCTTGATTGACTCGCCAAGCCTTTGCGGAAGCGCTTTCCTGGAGGCGGGCCCGAGGGCGGGGGTGGGCGGGGCCGCGAGCCCTACTGGGGCCTGCTCAGTCCCCGCCCTGAAGAGCAGATGGTTGCTAGTGCGCAGGCGCAATGTGGAGGCGGAGTTGGGCTGAAGGGGCGGGAGAAGATGGTTGGGGGAGGGGCGAAGCTAATGGTCACAAGGAGGCGAGATCAGAAACGAGGGGCGGGGCCTAGGTTTCCCCAGGCGGCGGTGGGTGAAGGGCAGCGGCCAGGGACCAAGGGCAGGAGCCCAGGACTCTGGGTCTTGCAGGATGAGGGCGAGGCCCGCTGCACTTGGAGCAGAGGAGTCAGCCAGGTGCCCACCCTCCCTGCCGAGCCCGCCACTCACTTGTCCTTCTGAGTTCCTTGGCTTGCATGAGGTTCTGTGAACACATTTTCCTGCTTCTTTATGCATCTCTCAGACAGATTATTGGCACCTACGCTGCAGATGTTGTCTGCAACATGAATGGGAAAGGCCCAAACACTAGCCAGCATAATCCAGAGCAGCATGTTCAAAGAGCGCACCATGACCAGGAAATGTAAGGAAGGTTGAATGCTAAGAAAGCTCTTAATTTTCTATAACAAAAGAAGAAAAGAAAATAATCATCTGGTCATCTGCATCAGTTTTGAAAAGATAAAAATGAAGGGTTATCTGATGTTACCAGAGGCATTTGCCTTTAGTCTATTACCAACACCAGAATATCAAATTACCACTCAGATCATTAAGTTACTTTCTCTGACTTTATCATCACATATGTGCACATATTTCACTGTTTACTTAGGGCAATGACACTCCAATTTCTTTCAGAAATCATGTGTTTCTATGAGACAGTGCTGCAGGTCAACCTCTCTGGATACTCACAACAGCTCAACCTGAAGAGGAGGAGGCTGTTGTTCCAACTGAAAATACGTAATTAACTAACCTGTTTGGTGTTGGGATTTTAGTTGAGTTCTTAATTAATATACTGCATATATATCAGAACATTTAAGAGAATCTTAGTTTTATGGATTTTATAAGTTTACGTTTTGAAAAAACAATAGATTTAGTATTCATGAAGGTTTTACTCACTGGCTGCTTTTTTCCCCCTCGCAAATCTGTTCTTCCTCTGTCTTCTGCCCCTTGATGAATGAAAGTGCTTTTCTTCATTTTACTTAGGCCAAGCACCTTGCCATCCCCCTTGACTCCTCTGTTTCTTTCATGTCCCACACTAACTCCATCAGCAAATCCTCAGCTCTACCTTCAACATATTAGCAAAAGTCTGCATATCCAAGGACAGGAGGAATTGCTGTGGCCTTTTTTTCAGTCAATTCACCACCGTCTGTATGTGGAAATACGAGCCAATACCTGGAAGCAGAATCCCATAAGCAGAATATGGACTCATAAGAAGACATGAGCTAAGATATAGAAAAAAAGTCAGTATGTGAGGTATGTGCTTACTCAAGGTGTATGTATCCCTTCTAATCCACTAGGGTGAACACAGAATCAACAATGGGTGTAAAGGAAACATCTGTGGATTTGCAAGGGGTTAGAATTTCAGCTCAGTGTGCTCTCTCCATATCCTAAGAGGAGTAGATAATCAAAGGAATCTCCTTTCTACCTCCAGGAGGGTAGAGGAGACAGGAAGCATATAGCCCACAACTTGTTGTGCAAAGTTGCACAAAGTTCAGATGCAGGATTAGAGAGTTTTAGACCACTGTTTGGGATCAAGAAAACTTTGTGATTGATGGAAGAAATTTTCACAATTGAGGTATGGGGAAATCATTCTGGCTTCTACGTGATTTAGCTTGAACTTTGGGCTAACTAGAACAGCCTGTCTTGTGACCTGTTTATCATGCAGTGTACATCTGCTTTAGCCATTCAGAAAGGAATTCATTATCCAGAAGTAAAGTATGTCCACTTTGAAGGTAGGGATAATGCTACCCTGTTCTATGATGCCTATGCTACTATTCCTTTAAAGATAAGTTTTCCTTCCGAGATATCAAGGTCCTGCTGATTCACTCTGTACGTGCTAATTGATCCCTTTTGAAATCTTGATGGAACATAGCCCTGCATGTTTCTGCCTGATGGTTCTTTGTTCCGAAAAGATACAAAACTGTGATGAAATCCATGCTTCTCTAGCACAGCTTCTAAGAGTGGCTGATAAGTTGTTCCCTAGGCTATAGTGCTCAGTTTTGCTCAAAGAACACTCTGTTCTATTTCTATTCCTGTTACAGATCGGTTATTGGTTATTTGTGGTGACACAATGATAATTAAGGTATGGCTTGGCATCATCTGAGTTAGAAGTGGTAATATGATA